AAGACAAGAATAGGAATGAGACCAGCAGGAGAGGAGGGGCGAGAAAGGGCAGAGCACCGTGGCCCAGGATGGCATAGAGGAGGGAGCCACAAGGGGAGAAGGGTCAGGAGACACTGGGTGGGGGGGGGCACCTGAGCCTTCTCAGTAGCATCTTTTGAGGGGTCCTGCAAAGGCCTCACTGCCCCCACATCCTGTTCTCTGCCACTGCCATCAGGTGCGTCCTCCTGGCATGTGCAGATCAGATGGTGGCCCTGGGGCCTGAGGCTCCATCTGCTTGCCTGCCTCAGTGCTCATGCTCAGCAGGGACCCATGGGTCCAGGCTGGATGTCACAGGCCAGTCATCCACGCTGAATGCATCTCTCCCAAGAGAGCAAACCCATTCAGTCGTAATTTGCCATTAACCCCTTAAGTTAGTTTCCTGGGCCTGCTGCCACAAATTGCCACACATCACGTGGCTTAAAACAACCGAAATTGATTCTCTCAGGGTTCTGGAGGCCGGAAGTTCAAAACTCAGGTGTTGGCAGGGTTGCCTCCTTCAGGAGGATGTGAGGGGTACCTGTCCTACTTCTTGCTGGTGGCTTCTGGAGGCTGCTGGCAGTCTTTGGCACGCTGTGACTTGTGGCTGTGTAACTCTGGTTTCTGCCTCTGCCTTCATGTGGCCTCCTGCTCTGTTACATCTCTTCTTCTTATAAAGGCACCTGTCATCAGGTTTAGGAACAACTTGGATGAGTCAGCCTGGTCTTCATCCTAAGATCTTTAATTATATCTGTAAAGACTTATTTTTCCAAATAAGTTCATGCTTATAGGTCCTGGGTGGACGTATCCTGGGGCGGGGGTGCCATTTTCACTATACCTCTGAAGCAGTGTGACAGTGTGGCCTTTGGAGATGAGTCAAAAGGGAGCTTTCGTTGAGATGAGGGGATAAGTCTGGGTGAGACATTGCACTGGGGGTCCTGGGCAAATTCCCAGAAGTGTTTAGGCCTTGGCCGTAGAGGTTTTTCTTAGACAGAAGACTCAGGGCCCAGCTCTGAAGTGATGATCAAGGTGTTGACAGGCTCTACCATGTTGAGGATGGACCTTGGTGCCATGGTCCCCTCGGGGGCTCATCCAGGGCAGTGCTATCCAACAGAACCCTCTGTGGTGACGGCAGTGTTCTTCAGTTAGATTCGAGCTGTACAACACAGTGGCTCCTACCCCTGTGTGTCTATTGAGCTTTTGAAATACCTACTCTGGCCAGTGCAAGTGAAGGACTAGATTTTTTACTTCTATTTAATTTAAATTTAAATTTAAATTTTAACTTGGGCCTATGGGACTAGTGGCTTCTGTACTGAGCATCGCAGCTCCAAAGTCTCTTGATTTCACCCCTTCTCCTCATCTGTTTTTCATTTCACTATCAAAAATGTAATTTAGCAGAAAGAACTGAAATTGTTCTTTTGTTTTTTGTGTACGTAATGCTTAAAGTTTTAACTTTTGGCTTAGAGACAGAGGCCGGATGGAATTGACCGATTTTAGACCCAGTACAAGAAAGCATGGCCTCATCTTTGAGTGAAACGGAAAAGAGGAGTGTTTTCCTGTGGACAGTGCTGTGGCTCACAGTTGCCTGGTAGTTAAGCGTGAGAAGCAGCTGGAGAGGCTGCAGTAAAATCTACAGTCACTAGCAGCAAGGAGGTTGCTGGCAAGGTTGCTTAGAGCCAGGAGGAAGGGATGAGAACTCATGTCTCCATCCCTGGGCTTTGTTTGGAAGTCCATGAGTTTGGGGCTCTTTACTCTTTGTCATGGTTTCGGGAAGCCACAGGTGAAATTTGGGTCTCATAAAGCAATTTCCCCCAAATTACTCCTCATATTCCTGCTTCCCCAGATGGATATTGTATACTGTCTTCCTTTAGAGTGAGGATATTTATTTTTGCTCACTGTTTAGACATGATCTTAAGCAACACTTCATTTATTTACACGTTGCCATGTTTTTGACCCTTCTGGATGAAAAATAAAGTGTTTGCCTGAGAGCAGAAAATCTCCAACGAGGCAGCTCTTCATAGGGTGATGGGATCTTCATGGACATAAACTGTGTGGGCTTTAAGCTCCAGCTCATCTCTTCTTCCTTGTTTTCTCCTGGCAAACCAGACACGGTAGCATCAAGACTCAAAGCGCCTGCCTCTGTGCTCGTGCTCCGTGGGCACCCCTGGGTCCAGGCTGGAAGTCACAGCCCAGGAAGAAGAGAAGGTTCTGGGCCTCAGACTCTGGTAATGCAGGCAGATCAGGGGATTTGTAGAGGAGTCTCCTGCTCGGGGTCATGCTAGCACTGCACCGTGTACATGTAAGACACAAATTAGGGATTTAGAGGCGCGGCGGCTGCTGAGTGTTGCCAGGCAACCTGTCAGCTGGGCCTGGAGGTAACACAATCTCTGGGAGCAGCCCGGTAGGAAGGCCTCCTAAGGACAAAACTGAACTTTTAGAAGCAGCGTCTTCTGCAACTGCACCTGCCTCGCTTGCCTCTAGGAGGGGAGGGGCAGGTCAGCAGAGCCACGTTGTTATATAAGCCGCTTGGGGGAATTGTGCATCTGTGGATTCTGTATTTGTTGTGTCTTCTTTTCCTTATGTTTGTATTGATATCCCACCTTGTACAAAAGAGGATCTGTGGTGGCTTTCAGAAATACAAATGCTGTAGCAGGACAAAAAAACAAGAAGAAGCTGGGCAAATGGAAAAGAAAAGAAAGTAGGAGTGTGGCTGGTCACTCAGCAAGGATACTGAGGATTTACCATGTGCCTGGCTCTGTAGAGACAGCAGTGAACAGAAAAGCAGACATGGCTCCTGCCCTCCTGGAGCTTACAGGCTAATAGGAGAGGTACAGGAGTAGGGTGGGGGGAAGAAAGGAGGGAGGAAGAAAGGCCACCATGAATCCAGTGCTCTTACTAGGAATAGGCTGCAAATTAGACTGTGAGTCTCCTAGCAGCCAAAGTAAGAGGGAGATGCAATTATGAGGTGTTGGGTGTGTTGTCAGTGTTGTGCTGGTAATAATGCAGCAACAGTAGCTTCATCCTGCTGTCCTGGGTGTGCAGATCATGACTCAGGTACCCCCAGGCCTTGTGCAGAGATGCTTCCTTCTCTCCTGCCTTGCTGTCAGCCTCCCTTTGGTGCCAGCCTCCTGGCTGGGTTCATGCCATCCAGGACATCCTGGTAGCCATCCCTCAAGAGAAGGGCTTGGGTGCTCTTAGGCCCAGCCAGTCCCAGAGCTCTTCCCTGCACTTCCTGTCCATGTCCTAGGCCGCACAGTTCCCTCCTCCTAGAATGCCGCTTATCTCTGTTGTCTCTGTCTTCTCTCCTTGCCCATGTAGGGGCCTCCATAGTTTTTAATGTGCCCTTTACTGATAGCATTTTATTTGCTTTTCCCAGTGATACGGTTTGGCTCTGTGTCCCCACCCAAGTGTTATCTGGAATTGTAATCCCCATGTGTCAAGGAAGGGACCTAACCTCCCCACATGTTGAGGGGGAAAGTGATTGGATTATTGGGGCAGTTTCCCCCATGCGCTCTCATGATAGTCAATTCTCATGACAGCTGACGATTTTGTAAATGGTAGTTTTCCCTGCGTGCTCACATGCTTTTTCTCCCCTGCTGCCATGTGAGACATGCCCGCTTCCCCTTCCAACATGATTGTAAGTTTCCTGAGGCCTCCCCAGCCATGCAGAACTGTGAGCCAATTAAACCTCTTTTTTTTTTTTTTAAATAAACCAGTCTTGAGTAGTATCTTTATAGCAGTGTGAGAATGGACTAATACATCCAGCAACCCTGGTGAGCCAGCTGTGATCTTAGTCATGTACAGCAAATGGAAGCAGAGGCACAGACTGGCCTGAGTTTGCCTGAGGTTCTGCAGCTTCCTAATCCCACTTTGACTCCTATCTTTGGTTTCTTCAGATTTGGCATATATAACTTTGCTTCTATAGTCGGGGTGCAGCTTGCTATAATTAGAGACTGGAAGAGCCTTATCCTTCTGCATCTCTGTGGGAGGCAGGCTGGAATTTCATTACCCCTTCCAATGATCAGGCCAGGCTCATCACTTCATCCCATGGATATGAGTATCTGGGGTCTCGTTCCCCCAAAGCAGTCCTTTTGTTTGTCTGTCTGTCTATTTGTTCATTCAACAAATATCTCTCGAGCATGCCAGGCACTGTGTGCTAACCACCTACCATCCTTGACCTCAAGGAGCTCACAGTTTAGTTGAAGAAGGGTCAGGACATGTAGGATTAGAGTGCAGAGTAAAGGGAGTGTGAGAGTATTAGTCAACAGCAACACTGGTTGCTTAGGGTGACAGGAGGTCTGGGACCGGGACATATGAAATAATTGTAAAATCTGGACAAATTTAGCCTATTTGTGTCTGTATTTCCACTGCTGATTAACACTCTAACTCACACTCACACTATTTTTACTGTGCACTCTAATCTCACATGTGCCGATCCTTCTTCTAATTGGGCAAATTTCACTTTAAAGTTCAAGGGCATTGAATCCCATATATCCTTGTATGAGTTATTCATAGAAGAAAGAAAGACATCACCTCCTGTGTTCTTGGAAGCATACTTCTATTAATGCAACCTTAATTTGCAGCAGCCTGGTGGTATAAGAGATAGCCTTGGATAGGTATGCCTACAATGTATGCTTCTCATACAAGAGGAGCCTTCTTGAGTGCTTGGAGACATAGGGCCCACTTTTCCCTGAAAAATGTTGAAGGAATCTTATTTAAGAACATGAGGGCAAGTGCCTTGTGCGTTTTCCATTAATGAATGCTGCCCACTCTCCGGTTACATAGCAGTGTTCTTGGATGGATTTCAATGTTTTGATCCCTCTTTAAAGAAAGCAACTGCAGCTATCCCAATTATGATTGTGGAAATACGCTTGTGCAGCCGTTGGGGTGGGAGTTGATTAGGCCATTGTGTTATCATTCCACGCATCTCCCAGAGATAGGGACCTGCATAAGTAAAACCATATTTCTGTTCTTCACGATCCAAGGTACCAATCCCAGGACTATCAGGCAGACTCAGAAAGCAGCACATGGGGAACATTCTCAGACTTGGTAAGTAGCTGGCTCGCTGATAGAGGAGATTAAGGTGCTTTTGATCTCTTCTCCCCTAATGACAATGTCTCTAGTTTTAAAAATGACTTGGGAAGTGTTTTCTTTGAACAGTCAAGAGGTTGCTTCAAAAAGAGCCCGCCCTATTTCTAGACAGTGTGTCTGGGAAGTTATGCTGCTGAACTGTAAATGGAGTTGGGTGAATTTTTCCTTCTGCCACCTTAAAATTGTGACTTTGCCCCTTAGATGCATTAGCTGATGACCCACAGTGCACCAAGGCTCCCCACTTTCTCCTGGAGTCGGGCCGCCTGTCAAGTCTCCAGCCCCTCAGAGGCTGGCTCTGGGCAGTCAGATCTGTCTGCATTTGCCCGAGGAGTCATCTTTATGCTCCTCCTGCTTTAGGGCATTGTTTTGGTGCCATACTCTGCAACCTCCAGTCTTGGCCCTCTGCCTGTTGTGTTGAACAGGTAGCCTGGGGAGAGGGACCTCCTGAGACAGCAGAATGATTTAAAGGCATTCTGGTGAGATTAAGCCTGGAAGCAACAATTCCTTGTGCAAGATGTGTGAGGGGAAAAAATTAAGTGTGTCTTGCTCTGGCCTTCAATTCATGGAGAGCTGTATGAATTAGAACTCAGATGGCAGATCATCAGTGAAAGAAAATCTTGTTTAAGTAAACATTTAACCCTTCACTCATGTCTTCATGACATGGAGATTAAGAGTGTGAACCCTAATGTAGACTGCTTGGGTCCCAGTGTCACCGGTTACTAGCTGTGTGGCCTTGGGCAAGTCATTTAATTTCTCTGAGCATAAATTTCCTCATCTAGAAAATAGCATCTAGCTCATTGAATTTTGAGAAATTAAATAATGCATAAATAAAACACTACCTGCTTTATCTGCTCGGTGCCCTACCAAATTTTGTTCTTGCTTTGTAGTTATAATTATTCTAATGTTATTCTAATCCTTGATTGATTGTTCACCAGCTTTTTACCTTACTTACTATGACTAAGCTCCACGTGCAGGGAGCTATGGGACAAAGAGGGAAGGGTCAGAATTTCATTTCAGTTGCATTAAAGAAGAATAAACACACAGAAAGTAAAAGTGTGTTTCAAAGCATATAAATTTATACCAAAAGAGAGAGATCATTACTAATATTCATATTAGCAAGAATTTCCACATAGAATATAAAAATGCAAGAGAATATTGCTTTCACCCTAACAGTAAAAAAAATGAGACAGTTTATAAAATCACATATATTTAAGTCTGTCAGGGAGCCGCCCTGAGGACACGAGGTAACCTAATGAGTTTAAATCAAAAGAGTGGCAGTCCCTCCCAGGATATTACCCTGGGCAGAGCAGCAGGAGGAGGTGGTAAATGTCAGAGATAGTAAGAAGAAAACAACTGAAATCGTAATCATGTTTTAAGAGCCAAGTATGGGTTAGCATAATGGTTTAGAATTATCGTAAGCTGCAGACACAAGGGGTGTCTTTCTGTTGTCCTTTGGCTTCCACCGAGAGCTTACACAAAAAAATTGGGGATCGAGTAAGAGGAGAGACAACTCTCTATGGTTTAGGACCTACCTAAGTATTTAGCAAGAGAACCAGTAAAAACCTTCCCATGCTCATGACCTCAAGGCCTGCCCAACACTGAGGCTAGAGCAGAGAAACCAAGAGAAACCCTCCTGGACCATGCATGGGCAAGAGTCAGTGGTTATCTGCTGCTGAGAAAGGGGCAGAAAATCAGGTCTTACTCAGGATATTGCACTGAGTATAAGGCAGCTGTTATCTGCTACTGGGTGAGGGCCACAAACCTCCCCAAGCTCAAGGTTCTGCACTAAGTGTGAGATAATGTCATGTGAGGGAGAGAGAGGAGAGCTAAGAGTGATCCTCTCTAAGGCCCAGGTATGTAGGGCTGCCTAAATAAATCTTTATGAATGCTGGGCCTTGCATTAGGCATCAGGTGGTGTTATTAAACTAGGAGAGGGGCAAGAATGTTGAGAGACCTATTCTACAGTGCAGAGCCTACTGAAGTCTAAGGTGGTACAGGACAATTGAGAGAAACTGTCCATTACACTAGGCTTCATACTAAGTGTGGGACAACAATAGTTCACTAGTAAGAGAATTTGAAGATTCTAGTGCATTGAATGTAACTAAAACAATAGCAAAGTCCAAACCCAGCTGAATTTCAGATAAGATACTAATTCAGCTTCCCATATTAACAGACTGATAGAGGAAGACAATTCTCCATTTTTTGCTGTATTTGCCTCATCGCTACTTTTTACATTCAATGTATGGCATTCAATATAAACTTATCAAATGCATGTACACCCTCAGGCAAACAAACAAACAAACAGTGATATGATCACTTGTCAATACACAAAATAGTCAATAGAACCCGACCAAAGTTGACCCAAATGTTGCAATTATCAGACAGGGACTGTAAAATAGCTAAGATGAATATGTTAAAGGATCCAGAGGAAAAGGTAGGCAACATGTATGAACAGATGGGGATTTTCAGCAGAGGTATGAAAACTATATATAAAAAAAATCTAAATGGAAACACTAAAAAATGAAAATCATAATGTCAGACATGAAAAATTCTAAAATTATTAGAAGATTAGACACAGGAGGAAAAAAATTTAAAGAGATCAATAGAAATGATCCAATCTGAAACAAAAAGAGAAAAAAGAATGAAAAAAATAAAGAGTATCTGAGTTATATGGTATAATATCAAATGTCTTACACATTTATAATTAGAGTACCAGAAGAAGAAGGCAAGAGATAACATGCAAGAAGAAATATTCAAAGATAAAAGAATAAAACATTTTCTAAAACTAGGGAGTAAATATACACCTTACCAAGAAGCTTAGAGAATCCCAAGCAGAATCAGTCAGATTGCCAAAAACAAGGATAAAGACCATGGTATGCTGGCTTTAGCATGCTACAGGAAAAAACAAAAGATCTTGTCAACCTATAATTCTATATTCAGTAAAAATATCATTCAAAAATAAAAGTGAATTGAAGATATTTTTAAGCAGACAAAACCAGAAAGAAGTAATCTTTAGGGGATACGCTAAAAGGAGTTCTGTAGGCTGAAGGAAAATGATTTCTGATGGAAACCTGGTCCTACGGGAAGAACTCGTATGAATGAAAAACATCAGAAAGAGTGAATAGGTCTATAAATAAAAAGTAGCTTCAAAACTCTTTAATGATAATTGGCCATTTAAAGTGAAAATAGTCTGAGCCCAGTGGCTCATGCCTGTAATCCCAGCCTTTGGGAAGCTGAGGCGGGCAGATCACCTTAGGTCGGCAGTTGGAGACCAGCCTGACCAACATGGAGAAACCCCGTCTCTACTAAAAGTACAAAATTAGCTGGGTGTGGTGGCGCATGCCTGTAATCCCAGCTACTTGGGAGGCTAAGGCAGGAGAATCACGTAAACCCGGGAGGCAGAAGTTGCAGTGCTTGCCATTGCACTCCAGCCTGGGCAACAAGAGGGAAACTCCATCTCAAAAAAAATTTTTTTAAAGTAAAGATAATAACAAAGGAACATGGTATTTTAGAATGAAAATGATAATGTGGCAGTGGGGGGATTCTTAAATTGCTCATGAAATAATAGAATATTTTTTGAAAGCAAACTGTGATGAATTAAAGATTGTAGTTGCTAGAGAAATCACTAAAAATAATTCAAAGAAGCATGACTAAAATGTCAATAGAGGAGATAAAATGAAATTTTAAAAATATGTTTCATCCTAAAAATAATAGGAACATAAAAGTGAAGAGCATAAAAGATAAAACCAAATCAAAATTTATTTAAAATCAAAGTAGATGAATAATTACATTAAATATAAAGGGATTAACCTTCCCAATTAAAAGGCAGAGTTTGTCAGACTGGGTAAAAGTGCAAGACTCAACTGGAGACATACACTTTAGATATAAAGACACAAAAGAGTTGAAAGTAAACGATTTGAAAGTGATAACCTGTAAATGCTGTGCAAAAGTAAACAGGTGAAACTAATATCAGGTGAAGTAGGCCTCAAGTTGATAAAAAGATAAAAGGAACATTTTATAATGATATTAAGGGCTTAATTAATCAAGAAAACATAAAAATCGCAAAAGTTTTTGTACCTAATATCAAAGTACCAAAATATATGAAGCAAAAATGGATAAAATTAAAGGAAACGATATATATTCAGTCATAGCTGGAGAATTGAATATACCCTCTCTCAGTAATTAATAGGCTGAAAAATCAGTTAAGTGTTTGGATGATTTGAACAATGCTGATAACCTGATCTAATTGACATTTTTAGATTACTCCACCCAACAGAGGCAAAACACACATATTTCTCTAATGCACATGAAACATTTCTCAAAAGAGATCATGAACTGGATCATAAAACAAGTCTCAAACTTCTTATAATGAATTTCTAAGTATATTCTCTGAACACAATGAAACATAAAGTGGAAATCAGTAATAACAAGATACCTACAAAAATTATTTGAATGTTTGGAAATTAAACAACACATGACTAAATAAACCATGAGTCAAAGAAGAAATCATAAGGGAATTTCAAAAATATTTTAAATTTAATGATAATGAAAATATTTTGATAATGAAAATCAAAATTTGATAATAATGAAAATCAAAATCTTTGATATACACAAAATTTAAAGGGAAATGTACAGCTTTAAATGCTTATATTAGAAAGTAAGAAATGTACAAAATCAATAACCTTTGTTTCCACCTTAAAAAGCTAAAAGAGATGGGTTAACCAAACTATAATAAGAAATAGAAATCAATAAAATGAGAGACAAATAATCAAGAAAATCAGCAAAAACTAAAATTGGTTTGCTAAAAAGATTAATAAAATTGATATACACCTAGGAAAATTAATCAAGATAAAAAATCAGAAGATCCAAATTGCCAATATCAAGAATAAAAGAAGGGACAGCACTAAATAGCTTACAGACCTTAAAAGGATAATGCAGTCATATTATAAATAACTTTATGCCCATTAATACAATGATTTGGATGAAAGGCACAAATTTCTTGAAAAACATAACTTGGCCGGGCGCGGTGGCTCAAGCCTGTAATCCCAGCACTTTGGGAGGCCGAGGCGGGTGGATCACGAGGTCAAGAGATCGAGACCATCCTGGTCAACATGGTGAAACCCCGTCTCTACTAAAAATACAAAAAATTAGCTGGGCATGGTGGTGCGTGCCTGTAATCCCAGCTACTCAGGAGGCTGAAGCAGGAGAATTGCCTGAACCCAGGAGGTGGAGGTTGTGGTGAGCCGAGATTGCGCCATTGCACTCCAGCTTGGGTAACATGAGTGAAACTCCGTCTCAAAAAAAAAAAAAAAAAACATAAAAAATGGACACAAGAAGAAATCGGAAATATAAACCCTGTGTTCGTTAAATAAATTGAGTTTGTAATTTAAAAAGACTCCTCACAAACAGAAATCTTGGTCCAGCTGGTTTCCCTGGCAAATTGTTTCAAATATTTAAAGAAGAAATATCAATTCTACACCAACTCTTTCAGAAAATATAGGATTAGGGAATACTTTCCAACTCATTCTTTGAGGCTAGAATTACCTTGATACCAAAATCAGACAAGAAAATCATAGAAAAGAAAGTTATAAACCAAAGTTTCTCATTGTCATAACTAAGTCCTTGATGATAAAAATCCTTAACAAAATATTAACAAATAAAATCCCATAATGTAAAGAAAACGGTAAAGTAGGGTTTATCTCAGGAATGTAAGGTTGTATAATATTAAAAAATCAATATAGTTTACCACATTAACTTATTAAAGGACAAAAATTATAAGATCATTTTGATAGATATAGAAAAAGTAATTGACAAACTCCAGCATCCATTCTAGATGAGAACTCTCAGCAAACTAGGAATGAAAATACTTTTTTCAATCTGCCAAATAGCATCTACAAAAAAACCTATGGCTGACATTCTTACTAGTGATTGAATGCTTTCCTCCAGAGACTGGAGACAAGACAAGGATGTCTCTCTTACAACTTGTATTCATCATTTAACTTGGAGTCTTAGACAAAGCAATAATATAAGAAAAAGAAATAAAGGACATATAGATTGGAAAGGAAGATGTGGAATTGTCTTACAAGTGACATGATTTTGTACAGAGAAATTCCTAAGAAACTTTTAATTTTTTAAAAAAATTTAATTTTTGTGGGTATGTGGTAGATGTATAT